GATAGATAGATAGATAGATAGATAGATAGATAGATAGATAGATAGATAGATAGATTATAATGGCAACAAGGGTAATAATAGTAATAATAGTAAAAATGTTAAAAAGTACTGATAATAAAAGTCTGTACATGTATATATTTTGTCTTCCTTAAATAGGAGTTGAAAAAGAATCACCAGGAGTATTTCGCGACGAAATTGGAAAACTGAGGGATTTGGAACTCCCTACTTATATTTTCAGAGTGATTGTTTTTGCTTTGTTTTTGTTTTGTTTGGTTTTGTTCTTGTTGTTATTGTTTTGGGGTTTTTTTTTGTTTTTTGTTGTTTTGTTTTGTTGTTGTTTTTTTGTTGTTGTTTTTTTTTTGGGGGGGGGGTTATTTTTAATAATCTGTAGTTATTTCCTTTAAGACCAGCGTTTCGGCCCCTTTTATTTATTTTGATCTCGCTGCCTTAGCTGCTATAGCAACCGGTCGCCGTCCGAATACGTTGGATTGACTGTGAATGTTTCTTGCACTTATCCATACAGCTTATAAAACTTTGAAAGGTTCATCAGTGTGAAAGGAGAATTAACTATCTCTTAGAACTTAATAAAGTGTAAAGCGCATAGAGCCTGCTGTTGAGCGGGGATATGCGCTATACGAATGCTATTTATTTATTATTTATTATTATTAGAAAGAACGTTTTTAAACAAGAAAAACAAAAGGTAGCGTCTTACCTCAACTGGAGAAAAAACGTCACAAATGTTGTTGTGGGTAACTCCGTCAGGAAATATAGCTTGTTTGAGACGTGTTGTCAGAAGGACAGTTGATGCCAAGTCGGTTGTGACAGTGAATATTGCTATGTCCACTTTACGACCACCACTCAGCTGTTTCGGTTATTTATCTACAAACTATCATGATATTATCCTTTTTTCTTTCACTTGCTGTTATCACATCTATTGTAGTTTCGGTAGAAAAAAAAGCAAACAAACAAACAAGAATTTACACTTTTTTTTCTTGGTTTAAATATGATTAAAACAATTAGGAATTCGAAGAAAAGACTGCAGGTGAAATTCTTTAAGTGTTCCTTTTTTTCACTGATAACACAGCGGCGGCACTATAAAACAGTTTTTTGAGCAAGAAAAAAATAACTGAAAACAACGTAATACAAGTTACAAAACTAACTTTGCCATCAGATTGGAACAATCGGCGCGAGCAAGTTAGTATGGCTAACCCCCTACACGACTGCAGCAGAGGTACTCCGCGATCAGACTGTCATAGAACTGGAACGAACTTCGGTTTCTCTTTCTCCTGCCTGTTTGGCTGATTGTCCGCATATATGTTAGGGCTGGGCAATGAGTCGCTTTAGCAAAATCCGGATAATAAGTTAGTGCACCTCTTCGGCAAATAATCTCGTGAACCGCTACGGCAAATGGATCAGAAGAACCACTTCGACAAACGAGTTAGCACTACTTCAACAAATGGGTGCACTCACTTTAGTAAACGGGTCAGGAAAGAGAGAGAGAGATAGAGAGAGAGAGAGAGAGAGAGAGAGAGAGAGACAGAGAGAGAGAGAGA